CGATAAAATTCAAGTTAAAACATGATAAAAAAACTGGTAATCACAATAGTTATTCTGTAATTTATTAATATTTGTAGTATTTTATCATGTCCAATAAAGCATTAAACAGGTTATTTTTATGTTTGTTTTGCTAGATGAATTCTAGTAAATATTTTTCAATTTTGTTTTGGTTTCGATCCTGTTCCCTGATGAATAATTTTAACACGGCCCAGGTACCTTCAATGTGGTTGGTGTGAATGCTTCCTCTGTATTGTGGTGTTTGGGAATAGTTAACCCTCTTATGTGTTATGCCCAGTTCTTTTCTTCTAAATGAAAGTATTCTTTCCATAAATCTGTGTGAACAATTGATCCAGGTCTCACATGTTTCTTGATGATTCTTTTCAGAGTTTGTTAATTTCTATTCTCTGCTACCACAAAAAAACATTTCTTCTTTTCGGTTCTTTTCACACCACCAATTACCCAGAAGTCTTTGTTCCTCTTGAACTTGCTCTCATTGATCTATACGATGATATCCTTTCTACCGATGATCATGTCATCCTCTTCCAACATGTTGATGACCAGATCTCTAAAATTTTTTATGTACTTGACTATGGTATGATGTGATTGGTTGGTTATTAGATCGATCGAGATGTAGTTTATCCTGTTCAACCACAGGTAACCTAATAATAAAATATCACAGATTTCCATCTTGCTCTTCTCAAAGAATGAATTTCTAACAATTGATATGGTTTTTCGACAGTTTTGATTCTTGCATCTGTATATCTTATTGAATCTTGAAAATTCTTCATTGTTGCAATTCTGACATTTTGGGCTGTGAATGAGGTCTTTTTCTATGATAAATTTGATATTTTCTTCTTCGTTAAACAGGATATCTTTCAGTGATTTTAGGCTAAATATGTTTATTTCGGTAAAATTCATATCTGGTTTTTTTATTTTTTCGTGTTTTGCGAGAACGACAATTACAACATTGAATGATGACAATTAACACGATCAAGATGTAAAGTTTTTTGAGATCTATTTTGTTCAAACGTTATTTCTCTCTCTTCTGTATTTATATAAAAAGATCTTATTTCATGTTTATTATTTCAATATTGATTCAAGAATATTATAAGATTTTAGGCGTGAAGAGAATATCGTCATTGGAGGATATTAAAAAGGCTTACAGAAAACTAGTATTGAAATTTCATCCAGATAAGAACAAGTCAAGTTATGCTCAGGATAAATTTTGCAAGATAAAAGAGGCCTATGATCATCTCTTAAAGGTTAAATCAAGGAAAAAATCTAGAAAACTAGGAGTTAATAAGCAGACAACGGCTCAACAAACAACACAAAAAAAAGTGATTGCTAAGAAAAAAGAAAAAACATTTCTCAAGAAATTCGAACGATTGTTAAAAGAATTCTTAAAGACTTTATTGTGATGCCAAAGGTGAAGAAAGATAAAAATGAGACATTGACACAAAAAAAATAGGAAGTAATTCGGAAAGCAAAGAGTCAAAAGGCTATGATGAAGGGTCTATTCACACTTGATCCTCTATGGGTGATTCATTTTTACGATAATATAGAGAAGGTTTCCAGGTTAAAATTTGAAAAAAATACTGATGAAAAGAAAATAATAGTCAGGAAAGTAAAGAATAAAGTAGAATCTGAAGTAGAGTCTGAAGGGGAATCTACAGAAGAATCCGAGTTAGAATCTGAATCACCAAATGAGGAGAAAAAATCTAAACCTGAAGGGAAAAAGTTGAGCGTTTACAATCTTTATATTTAGAAGGAATACAATAAACTGGTAGAGCAAGAGTATAAAAATAATGAAATATTGAAAAAATAGCTAAGCAATGGAAGAATAGTTTTGAAAATCCCAAAAATGTATAAATAGAAACGATATTTTGTTGTTTAATTTTAAATGGAAAATTTTGATGATGAAAAGACTTATAGAGCAAAGCTTAAATTAAACGTGGTTATAAGTGCCTTGTTAAGCATTGTTAATAATAATCTTATCAATTTTCTTGTTCAATATCGTAAAATCTGATTTTTCATATCTAAATATTTTGTTGAAAACTGGATTTTTACAAGTCATATCAACGATCAGGTTGATAATTTCTGAAGGTTTAAGAACGATTGACTCATATTTAATTAGTTAAAACTGGCACTGATTTCAAAGAAGAGAAAACTGAAAAAGTCTAAGAAAAAATTAACTTCAAAAAGTTTAGTAAGGCATAAACAACCTCCTGTTAAAAGAAAGACGGTTAAAGCAAAGGGACCTTATTGTACAGGTTGTAGAAAGAAACGATAATGGCTCCTGTTAAAAAGAAAAAAGCAGTTAAAACGATTAAGTGTGCTAAAGGTTCTTGTTTGGTGAAATCAACGAGAAAATCGGTTCCTTTATGTCGTGTTGGTTATTGTGGGAACGTGGATAAATACAACGCTTGTCGAAAGAAGAGGACTATTGGTACAGAGATTGATAAAGGAAAATTTGGAGTTATTAAAGATCAGAGAAAGTGTTATTTTTGGGATACTATATTCTCTAATGTGCTTATCTTTTCCCTTTTTCAAGGACCGAAAACTGTTGATCATTTGATAATGTCTGATATCTCGATAGATCTTCAGATCACTGTGAGCAGTACTGCTTCTATAATTGAATTACTAACAAAAAATGGTACGACTAATATTGTGGGTTTAATGGAACCTATGACAATAAGATTTTTTATAGTGCAAATTTGCGATGAGAAGATGGCAAAAAAAAAGAGTTATTCATTGGAGGAACTTTTCGTCAATATAACGGAATTGGGAGATAGGCTTCGGTTTCGAGATCCATTTAAACCGATAGCGGAGGGAAAATTAGAATTTTCATGTGACACTAGATGTGATTTTCAAACAAAAAGTTTGGTTTTATGTGCTGATTTGAACCATAGAACATGTGTTTTATCAAGAAATACTGGAGAAAATATAGTATATGCGGAAGGGAATTTTATGTTAGCAATTGTGACAGATTATGCTGATTGGTTGTATAAAATGAAGTTATGTAGACTTGAAAGGGCAGAGAGATCGTTATTTGGTAATGAAACTAAAATTAAATTAGGTCATTCTGGAATATCTGCGTTTATTAGCAGTGGATCTATTGAAGCTGTGTGGCGATTAGATCCTTCTAGCATGGGAGAGTTGCAGGGATTGTTTAGCATGCTCAAGAAGTGTTGTGATAAGGATAGAATGCAAGTTGATACTTGATTTTAGGTTTTATTTTTGTATAAATATCTCTCTTGTTGATTAATAAATATTCATTTTTTTTAAACGATATCTGCTCAATCGTATTGTAAAATTAATGATGGAAAATTTCATGATTGTGATTATATCAATGCTAAACGATGAAAAACCATACGTAGTAAAGATGATGAATATTACGAGGAGTTTCTAACAGGATTATATTCAATTGCACATCAGTTAATTTCTCCACCACTTGAACCTCCAATTGAACCACCACCAATCACTGATGATAACGAAACCTTTGACAATTTAAAGAATTTGATTCAAAATGAATACGATATTGGTGTTTTGGAAGATGGTGAGGTGATAGATCAAGCAATCATCGCTTCAAAGTTGCCAATTGAGAAGCAAAATGTGTTGCAAAGTATGCGACAGGGGCAATATGCGATGTTATTAAGATTTAATAATTTAGCAAAGGACATTAGCGAGGAAACATCGATTCCAAAGCTACAAGATAGTGGTTTTTGGGATATTGAGATATTAGGTAATCTTTTGTTGAACGATAGGTTAAAAGATCAATTACAGAATATTCGGTTAAATAGATTATGTTACAGACAAGATTATAAAAAGGTTTACAATGAAATATCAGGAGAAAAAGATTTAGATAGATTAAAAAATTACTGGAAAAATGCTATTAACAATTCGAGTTTTTTATCAGAAGATAAAGATGAATTAAATGAATTACGTGAAGCAAAGATAAAAGAGCTAGAGAATTCTGTTAGTGATATAGATGCCTTTTCATCGATAAGAGATGGAATAAGGAAGGACACATCTATAGCGAATTTGGAAGATAATGGATACTGGGATCGTAGAATAAGAAGTGATAACGTTCTAAATTTAATTCAGAAAGCAAATTTACAACAATTTAGAGGTGAAAAGTTACGAGAATTATCAGATCAGTACTACGATCAGATCAAGAATGAGCTTCCCAATATTAAAAATCCAACTCAATTGCAAGATGGTTCGAGGATGAATAGACGAATTAGGCAATTGGAAATATCAATCTAACAGATGGAAGAGATATGAACGATCTTCAACGATTATAAGTTAGCTTGTTAGATTCTTTGTTAGGTCAATTGGAGATTAGTAAATGGGATAACTATCAAAGGTTGATAAATCAGTATTATAGACAATCCCAGATTGTTGATCTGGATGATACAAGCAAACTCGCGAATGATATATTGGCATTGAATGCAACTTTACTGGGTGATCAGAGAAGCAAGCAAAGGTTGATCGATTTTAGAAAAAATAAATTTAATAATCTATTATACCTTTTTTTGAGTGATTTGATTCAGAAGGAAAATAATGTGGAAGAACTTGTTGATGGGGAAATATGACAAGGAGATACAGGAGATCGATCAACAATATTTAGATTTTCCGAGAACCAAAGAGCAATTGCAGAAGGAGTGTCGTGATCGGCTAAATTCTCTTTTGTAAAGTGCACCGGCAAACAATAGTAAAAAAAACGCGAAATTAGATGGTAAAGATGCGAAATTAGACGATAAAGACACGACATTAGATGATAAAAATACGAATTTAGATGATAATAATGACGAGAAATTAGATGATAAAGACGTGACATTAGATGATAAAGATACGAAATTAGATGATAAAGACGCGATATTAGATGATAAAAAAATCATGGCAACAATAATATTAAAAAAATACTTCTTGGATATCTTAGGGAATTTCCTCAAGGCAAATTTAACGGTTCGTTGGAGGATAATAATTTGTTGAATCAAATGATAAAATCATATACAGAACTGTCAAATATACAAAAAGTAGAGTATCAAAAGATCAGAACTTCTATTAATGACATTTACAAGGACGAAGAACGCAATCATTATTTTGTTGATCTGGATGATCTAGAGTATAATGCTGTTTTTCTCAATATTTCAAAAGCATCTTTTGAGAATGTTGAGCAATTGATCGCCAAGATATTAAAAACTAAAAACAAGATATATGCAAAATTATATAGCTTTTTTGGAGACAAAATAACAATTCAGATTCTCAGATTGGTTGAGCGTTTAGCAACGGATGATATCAAAATCTTGTTGAATTCAACTCGTGATCTTGTGAAGGATAATAAGGAATTACTGAAAAGAATTGATGAGAAGCTTAACAAGAAACACAAACCACTCAAGATTACCAATAGTGAGTTCAAGAAATTGATCAAACAGTTTAGAGCAGGGGTGATTAACACGATAAATAAACTAGGACCATTGTATGCGATAGACTCTGTTTTATCATGTTATAAAGAAGTGGTTGAAACGAATGAGAATAAGTTGAACGAGATAAAACGATTGGTGCTTGAACAGTTTTACAAACAAACTGATGTTTCTTTAATAGAAGCATTCTTTAGATTTACTCCTGAAGGAGAATTTAAGTATAAAATGTCATCGGATCCGTTAAACAAACATCAATTCGTTTACATAATCTATCAGATTTTGGTAGAACATGTGAGCGATGAAAGATTGAAATATAAAGTTAATAATATTTTTGACCAGTTAGATTTCATTATATAATGGCCAACATTGTACGTTTTCAGAAGGAACTCGAGGATTTATGTCAAGAGAATGAATTGTTAAGGAAGAGAAATGGGCAGTTGCAAAACTATCAAAATCAAGTTTCGGAGATATTAACGTGGAAATATCCACTTTTTTACCTATTTTTACAAACATTTAAACAAATTTTTATCATAATATTCTATCATATGATTGCAACATTTTTGGTTTTTGTATCTGTAGAACTTTTTTTTTTTATAGTAAGTTAGATTGCAAGTATACATGTTGGGATAGCAATTACCAATTTGATCCAAAGAATAACTAATTATGTCAAGGAAATAGTTGAGGAAAACGAGACTTTGAGAGAGATTAACGAACAGTTAGAGGATTATAAGACAGAGAACATTTCATTGTATTATTATTATCATATTTTAAAATTTGTTAGAAGCAATTATTTTAGGATAATTATTATATACATTTTATCACTTGTTGTTGGATTTTGGTATTTTTTTTATCTTATCGAGTGTTTGGAATACTCTGTATGGCTAGTTGGTTTGCTTTGGCTTTTAGATTTCAACACTTGGCATTTGTTTAGAGTGTATATGTTTGATTTTGATCTTATTTCGAGAAAGTATTATTTTTTCTTCAGAGTTTATCTCTTTAATTATACCAGATACAATGAGATGCAATGGGACAAATACTTTGATTTAACAAACATCACAATTTAAAATTACATTTTTATATGTATATTTATTTGATATATTTCATTACAATTTAATAAAAAAATTACTTTTTTCTTCTCACTTCAACGGGTTTTACCTCAAATAATTTTTCTGTCCAGTATACTATTAGTTTCATTTTTTCTTCAATTTTATCTATTTTGCAGCAAAATAGTCTAAGATTAAGTTGGTATCGGTGTTTACTTTCTTTAAAGTATCCTCGTAGTTCAAGTTCTCATACGTAAGTTTATTGTTATCTTCTTGAAGTTTTATATTTTCCTCAGACAGTTTTTTGTTTTGATCGGTTAAGGTTTTGTTATCAGCTAACAATTCAGCATTTTCTGCTTTGAGTTTATTGTTTGCTTCCTTGAGCGGTTTCAGTTTATCATTTTCATCTCTTAGGGTGTTTATTTGGTTGATCAGGTTGGTTATTTGGTTTGTTTCCTGTTTTTAGTTCTTCATTTTCTTTTTTTAATTGTTTTATTTCATCGGTTAACTTGTTAAAATCCTCTTGGATACGGTTAGCGAGACCACTACCGCTGTGCAATTGTAATGCTTTCGGTTTTTATATATTTTTTATTTATTTATATATTTAAAATATTGTTTAACAAAAAATAAAAAAGGAAAAGGAGAAAATTTAAAAAAGGCTAAAGCCTCATTACATAATTGAAGTGTATCTATTTGTCAAATGGGAGATCATAACCTGGAGACATCCAGTAAATATTTTTACATGCTTGTAACAAATTATCAACCATGGTCACAACATTTGTTTCCTTACTTTTTCCAACCATATAATAATGGCATCTGCTTAATTTCCCAACAAAACTAATATTAGGTTTGGGTTCAAATGCTTTATTCTTGTATCTTGCATCATTGTTTAATTCTTGTTTTTTATTTCCATGACAGGCCTTTGTCAATTCATCTATGTTTTTATCAAAGTTAGAAACGAATTCTTCAAAGGTTCTAGGACATTTATATTGATTTACATAACATAAGCATTTCCATAATCTTTCTTGAACAGGACCGGTCAAGATAAGGTCCTTGCATGCATTTACTAATTTTTTTAATTTTTCCATCAAACTATCATTTTCATTAAACTTAACACCAAGCAATTTAAGGCATTCATTCACTTGGTTGATAACACCATAAAGAATAGTGTTTAATTTTTCAACATCATTGTTATTTTCAACTTCACTAATGTTCATATTAAGGTAACTGGTGATGATTTCGTTAATTTTAATTTTGACTTTATTTCTATGTTTTCTGCAATCGTTAAGTTCATTAGTACGATTATTAAATTGGGTTTCAAGCTCTTGAATTCTGGTATAATCAGTGTTATCAATTGTATGATATACAACATGGGTATAATGTTGGTGAATTATAATTGCTCGTCCTCCTCCTCTTGGTCTTAAACAATATCTTTCTTTAAAATGACGTTCTCCACCACCACCACCAACCCAATTTCCCATAAGATTACATCTAGTTTTAAACTGGGTAATTTCTTTTTCTTCTTCATTTTCTTTTAATTCTTCAAAATTGTACTCATTTTTATCATAAACAATTTCAATTTCAGGCATTTTTTGTTTTATTTTTTTGTTTTTTTGTGCTTTAATTATATTTTTTTTACTTGATTTTTTTAGCTTTATTTATATTTATAAAAAATTTAAGTATATATTTTATTTATATTAGAAATGTTTTTAATATCATTACATGTTTTAACTAACAGATTCATTTTTTGGTTTATGCTAATGTTTTTTTTATCATATTTAATATCCAATAAACTTAAAGAAAGATCAATGTCTCGTTCGAGTTTCACAATATCCATTTCTTTAAACAATGTTGCGTATATTAGAACGTAGTATAAAGTATAAAATTACAGTAAATTTGATACATTATTTCGTTTAGATGTAGGTGAAACTTGAAGATTTTCAAGTGGAATTCTAAAAAAAAAAATTAATTAATTTTGTTCAATCAGAGAAAAAAGAGGAAGAAAAAATACAAATTTTTGCACAAAGATGCCTCTCTTGTATTGTTTTGTGATCTTTCCATTCTTGTTTAGTATGGGTACGTAGCGCTTTTTATGAAAATTCCATATATGGAGGATTGGCAGATTTTGGTGTAATCTATGTGATTCAATTTTGATGATGATCTCAGCTGCATGTGGCATATCAAACAGGAGCACAAGGATGATCAAAAGCCACAGAATAAATCTCATTTTGTTTATCATCTAACAATGATTTAAATAGATCCGAATTTAGCAAGAGTTACAGGTTTGGGGTTTATATAAGCCAACTTGTTAATTATAATGTCTGTAGTATTATCTTAACGTAAATTTTCTTTGTCAGCAATATGAGTCTTATTGGTTATTGTTGTTTATTTTTGTTTAAATTAATCGATTTATTTTTTTAGAATGGCTGAAAAATCATTTGATTTGAATGGTATCGAGAACTGAGAAGGATTAACAAGGAGATCGATGCTGAAAAGTTACTGAAAAGAATTATTAAGATTGAAAAGAGAGAAATTCAAGGACGTTGTGAAAGAATTCAGAAACAATATGAAAAACTTTTGTATTTTTATTATGTTTTATCTTTGATCATTTTCATTTTATTGTTTCCTTATCTCTTAAGTTTCATCTTTTTTTTCTTTTATGACTACGATTTTGAGTACAAACATCATAGTCATATTGAGTTTAAGATAGTTTTTTGATTATATAATTTTTCGAATTACTATATAATACCATTACATAATAAAATTAATAATTAAATATGAGAATTATTCTTTGGTTTATCATTTTATTGATCACAATCAATAAGTCTTTTGCGTTAAAAAAATTCAATCTAACAAAGTGTTTGAGCAACGCAAATAAGATACACAACATCTTTGAGCCTAAAGATATGCATGATATTAAGCATCAGGTGAACAGCATGTTTACGGAAATGATACTCTGTCTTCATATGTTAAAAGATTATTGTTATGTTGAACAAATAAAAATAAATCGCATAAAAATTATTAATAATTAGATTACGTAATTTGATTATGTAAACATTAAATAAAGATATTTATATTTGAATTTTCTTTATTTGTAAATAATCTTTTTTTACGCATGTTCATGTAAGTTGATATTTTGGTTTATTTAAAATTTTTTCAATTTAACAGTATGATATATTTGTTTAGAATGAAAATTACAATATGGATTATCGTTTTTTTCTTTATACCTCTTAATCTTTGTTATGTTAAGGAGTACGAATATACTGCACATAATCATACATATAATCTTACCGAGTGTTTGATCAAGGCAAACGAGATGCATAATCTCCACGAAAGCAAGGGTTTAAATGATATAAAATATTGATTTAACAGCATTTTACAAGAAATAATTACTTGTATTGACAAGTTTAAAATGATTTAAAGATTGAATGTAACGTTACATATCCGTGTTTTTTATTTTAATACATATATCTTTGAATTAAATATAAACTGGACTTTTTAAAATAAAATTTTTATAAACAAAATGATTTTTAATATGATTAAAGAATGTATTATTTCTGTTCTATCCTTTTTTTATCTAATTTATGTTTATTTTCTTTCTTTTTTTAAAAAAAATGTCAATGAAAATGATAATGAAAATGATGATTATGATGTTATTAACAGTATCATTTAACAGATGAGATTAACAAATTGGACATTTAATGAAAAAACTATTAAAAAAAGAATCAAAATCTATATCAAAAAAAATTGATAATGAAACAGAATTTAAACATGATATGCCTCCTTTGATTATATCTGAAAATTTTTTAAACCTCAGTGAGAATGCTTCTTTATTAAGCAGTGAAAAACTTTTATATTGGGCAAGAAGAAGAATTTACAGAAAAAAGGGTAATTAAATATTAAAATTTTTTTAAAAAAAAATGATTATTTAATATTAATTAAGTTTCTTATTTAAGAAAATAAAAAAGAATATAACAAAGAAAAAAATCAATGAAATTGCTGAAAAAATTTTAAAATTATTAAATCTCAATTTTGTTAAAAATAAAAATATACAAGAAGAAATTGTTGAATACATTAAGAAAATTAATAATTTAACCAATGAAAATAATAATGATTATCTTGATTTGGAATTTAAAAATATAAATGATCTATTTCCAAATTTACTTTATGTAGAAAACTTTTTTCATTGGATTACTAGATACACTCATCATAATTTAACCTAGTTTATGTTTCTTTATTTTTTTAAAAAAAAAAAAATTGTATAACTTTCGTAATGATGACAAGTTTAAAAAAATGATTTAAAAAATTGAATGTAATGTTATATATTCATGTTTTTTATTTTAAAATATAAAAATTTTATAAACATAATACAAAACCAAACTAACAAACATAAAAAACAAGTTATTAAAAAAAAGCTTTTCATAACATTCTTGTAAATTTTCATAACGTTGTTGTGAATTTTCTTGAAATAAAATAAAAGATTCTTGAGATTTAATAATTTTATCTTGAAGTTTTCGATTTTTTTCTTCTAATTCTTTATTTTGTTGTTGAAAATTCATTAATTCATTTCTAGACCTAAAAATAAAAAATATTAATTTTAAATATTAACACAATATAGAAAAAAAAATATAATTTACATTATTATTATGAAAAAGACACGTTGAGATAGTTCTAAAGAATTCATTTTTTTTTTTAGATTGTTTAAATAAAATTGTGAAACAACTATATTTATAAGCATATTTTATTTAATTTTTATTAACTAATTGATCCTAAAAAACCTAAGATCAGGGCTATGATGATGATGTACATAATGATAGAATTATCATAATCTTTAAGGATTATCAAGACCAAGACCATCATCAAACAGAAGACAATAGTATGCATTTTTTCATCTTTTCTTCTGTGTTGTTCTTCCCTAAAACAAACAAATTAATATCTAAATAAATAAAATAAATGTAAATTGTACATGATTAATTATATTTTTGACAATTCGTTATCTTGTGTTTAGTAAACCATGTTTCAAATTAATATAATCAGGTGGAATGAATTAGTCCAAATTGAGAGTATGTTGTACCATTCCAAATTTATACTTATTAGCCTATTTCAAGACATTGGTTCCATTCCAAATTTTTATAGGTTCAAGACACAATTCGCTAGTTCCATTTAGGAATTCCCATAGTCATGCGTGTGTAATCAGGAGCAGGAGTATCGGTTTTCCAGTTTCAGAGATCATGAGATGATCTATAAATGAAGAATCATTTTGGTCGATCAAATATTGGTTCTATCCCAAATTTTTATAGGTTCAAGACACGATCCGCTAGTTCTGTTTAGGAATTCCTATAGTCATGCATGTGTAATCAGGAGCAGGAGTATCAGTTTTCTAGTTTCAGAAATCATGAGATGATCTATAAATGAAGAATCATTTTGGTCGATCAAATATTGATTCCATCCCAAATTTTTATAGATTCAAGACACGTTCTGCTAGTTCCGTTTAGGAATTCCCATAGTCATGCGTGTGTAATCAGGAGCAGGAGTACCGGTTTTTTTGGTTTTGCTCCTGTTTCAGGGCATTCGGAGATGCATCCAGATTTGGTCAATCGATTCTGTTATCTGGTTGTTCATGCACTTATATGCAAGCCACATGCACTAAACAGCATTCACCAATCCCTCCATTCAACCTAAATTTGGAGCGACAAACAATCCCCTTATGCGGTCTTATTCTCTTTCGTCCATTTTTTGGTATAAGATTGCCTGGTCTCGCAGCACGAACAATCCCCAATTTTTCGCAAATTTTTTTCAAAAATTTTCACAACTTTTACAGATCTCCAAAAACAATTTGCATGTTTCTTCTATTTCTAATCTACGTACTTCTATTAATCGACACCGCTATGTCTTATCTTTTTCAATGAACTGCATCTGGTTGATTTACTCCAAACCAAGAGGAGCACTATCCCGAATTTTTGCCTTCTAGTCGATCTTCTTCAGTGCAAGTTGAAGATTCTGTAACAGAATCTATTTCAGATACTCCTCCGAGCTATCATTAGGCAGTTGCAGAAACATCTACGGGCTTATTTACAAATGCAACTTCAGGTATTTAAGATCAATAAAATTTGTTGTTTAATCTCAAAATTTTACAACAAAAAATAAATCTAACATAGCTTTTCAACCTATTGTCGAACAAATTGAACATGTCACAGAAGAAGTTGTTGCCACTTCTGAAGGTAAATATTTGTATTTAAATTAATTATTTATTTATTATATTAAATATAATTTGATTTTGCTAGATACAAGTTACTTCTCAGATCGATTGGCAACTGAATTTGAGCAATATGATAACAAAATTTGTTCTCTTGAAAAAATGATCGAAAAACTTTTAAAGATTTTATTTTTTTTAAATTTTGTATTTTTAGTTTTATTTGGTGGTTATATGTATTATACTTCTAACATTCATACATTGAATAATCAACTTCTTTCAGAAAGAGTTGAAGTTCAAGTTAGAAGAGAACTCTTTAATGATTATCTAGAATTAGTTAGAAAACAATTTAATGAATTTATAGATTCTATTATAATTAAATTAAATTCAATGTAAGAGAATAGACAGTTGATCTGTTTATTTTTGATAGATTTTTATGTTCTGGTTGATTGAGAATGTATATTTTTCTGTTCATTCTTAATCAACCAGAACGTAAAAATCTTTTATGTAATTTTTATTTTAATATTACTTTTTTTGAATTGACGTTATTGATTTTGAGTTGGTGTATTTAAACTTTCATTCTGAGATGTTGATCTTAAAACTTGTATTTTTTACAGAAAAACTTAAAAATTCTCAATTATTTGAAATAAAAAATTTATTTAAACATGAAAAAATTTTATTGACAGATTATTTAAATTTTTTACAATTTACAAAAATATTCTTTAAAAATGCCTTCTCTCAAAAAATTTATTGCTAAATTTACCAAGAAATCTAACGTTGCTACCAGATCGATTCCTTCTTAAGAACAGATTTATGAAAATGTGTAGTCTGATTTTGATCAAGGAGAGGAGTGGAATGTTGAAAAACTGTCTGGTTTAACCGGCATTAAAGAAGATTTTGAACCTTCCTCAATGCAAGTTAAACAAGAAGATTTTTCGGTGGTAGAGATTAAAGAAACTCTGTTCAGAAATTACACTTTTGAGTGGATGTTGATATTGTTGCTGTTGTTATCTTCGTTGTTTTCGACAATGTTGGTGTAGATTTTCGGCCTCTTGTTTCTATTCCGATAGAGATTCCTGTTGCTGTGGTTGAATCTTTCGAAGGGAGACGTTGTAACCTTCGTTGACCTGTGCCTAATACATTACAGTCAGGCGTCGATAAGTAATGTATTCCAGATGGGCAACGACCTTGATAACACCATCTAGAATCTGGTAGATAGTAAGGTGCGAATAGAAGATTTCCCTCTCATCACCGTCTGTTTGATAGAGGATGTTTTCTATTCTTTGGACAATCGAAGGCTTTATTGCTTCAAGGAGACGATAAAGCAAGGGTTGGATGTTGACAGGATACCTGTTTGAATAAGACGGGTATCGAATGTCAACATCAAGTGGAAGATGGAGGAAGCGTATCGGGTGGTGCGGAATACCACTTTTTATGATGTGGTGGTGAGCCCTTCGTCAAGAAATGGGAGGGTAATTGATGGTGAGAGTTACTGGGAGTACCGTGTTTAGTTATAGTTTTTGTAAATATTACCTGTAAAAACTTGTATTTTATACTTAATTTTGTCTAATAAAAACGTGATCTGTATATAAATTTTCAGCACATTCTACATTATTATTTGTTTATTTTAAAATAAATTTAGTATGAATCTAAATTTGGTCAGGTTCATAGTTTGAATGATATTGATCTATAAATATGATTAATTTATAATTGGTTTTATTTTGTATATTATTCGCATTTTTTTCAAGATGTCATCTTTAGTTTTGTCTCAACATATTTTTTTAATCATGGATCAGTAATTGTTTTATTATTTATTTTGTTATTTGTTTTGTTCTTAATTAATTTGTTTTTTTTTAATTAGACAAGTTGACGATTATTTTAATAACTGGTATAAAAGAATAAGAAATGATGAAAATTGTCCACATTACAAAGAGATGATTAGAATTAATAATAATCACAATAAACAAAGAGAAAAAAGAGAAGCAAAGGAACGTGAAGAACGAGAAAAACAGAGACAATATGATCGAGAAGAAAGACAAAAAGAACATGAGAAACGAGAAAAACAAGAAGCAAAAAAACGTGAGGAACGAGAAAAACGAGAAGCAAAAGAACGTGAGGAAAAGAAAAAGCAAAGGCAATACGAGCAAGAAGAGTAACAAAAAGAAAGAAAAAAGTGACAAAAAGACCATAAAGAAAGACAAAAAAGAGAAAATAATATATGCTGTTTTATTATTTTATTTTTTTCTTTTATTGTATGTATAATCACAATACCTTAGATTCTGTTTTATCTGGTGTAGTTACCATCATTCTTAAGTATATAGAATATATGAAAAGAGATTAATATTTGTTTATAATTTATCTTTGTAAGCATGATTATATGTATTTATATGATAATTATATTTTTATATTAAATTATTTTTTAAAATAAATAAGATTAACCAGATTAGAGATTTTTATAGTAATGATTAGTAATCGGCTGTGATCAGCAGTATAAAAAATATTTAAATGAATCTAAATTTGGTAAGTGGTGAAAAAAATAAGTAATAAAAATCAAGATGAATCCAACGGAGATTTCTCGCCGTTTTGACAGTTTTTTAACAGATAAATATGTATTTTTGATTAATATTTATGCTGATATATTTGAAGTATGTCTACTATTGAGGGTGTTGTGAGCTTTCTTGACCAAGAAAAATTTAGAAACACACAAGGATTTCAAGATGTTTCATTTTTGATCAAGGTTGAAAAAAGTGAGGATGAAGAGAAGACTGCAGAACTATATTTTCTTAATGGTGATCCGGTCACAGAAATTCAAGTCCCTGATGATATTGAATATGAAGAAATTAACGAATTGGATCAGAAAAAGATTAAAAAACCTTTTTGTAATTCAAATATTTTTTTAATTAATTATCCAAAAAATATAATATTTTATTTAAAAAAAAAAGAATTTACGCTTTAATTCTTGAGCAAAAGCATTATACTATTCATAATTTTAACAAACCCGGTAACCTTAAACAATACGAATTAGAAAAGCGTGTCAACAAGGCGTTAAATTTAATCATTAAACTTGAGGATAATTAATTGAATATTTTTTATCATTTTGGTACAAATATCTTTGATTTATGCCCAATTTACGTACAACAACCTTGTTTTATTTATAAAAAAAGAAATTAATAATTGTTATTTTTTTTTTAAAAAAAAAAAAAAATAGAGTCAAAATGTGACTTATTGGCGGTTACATAAATATGTTTAAATATTAATAAAATCAAACGGAAATTTAAGATAATAATTTACGATTACAGTAATAATCGAAGAAGTGATAATTCCGTAAATTTTTTCATTATAAATATAAAACACTAAAATGATAAAGAGGAATATATTCATTAAAAAAATCATAAAAAAACATAAAAGTTTCATAAAAAAGACTTTTTCTTTTTGTCTTTCTTCTTTTTGGTCTTGAAGTAAACGAAAAATAATTTCTATAGTTTGTTTATTATATTGATTGTTAAGTTTATTTATTTCTTTTTTATGTTTATAGTGTGGACAGTTTTCTTCATTTCTTCATTTTTTTTACTTCTGTACCAGTCATCGAGAAAGTTACGAACTTGTTCTCTAATAAAATTTTAATAAATTTAAAGAAATAATAAAAAAAAAAAACAAAATTATTAATCTTACTCGCTCATTTTTAGGTAAATATTTTGAGATAAAACTAAAAAATCCATATTTTTTGTTAATATTTTTTATATAACAAAATTTTGGTACAATATTCCATGATCAGCATTATTACATATTTGTATGAATCCGGATTTGGCATTCTGATAGTGATGCATGTGCGATTATGTAAGCGGGTGTGACACATTCGGTTGATCGACACACTACAAATACCTGCGATTGCGCCTAATTTCCTTTTTGCTCTTCCAATGATTTTACATTAAACCTGAGAAAACATGGAGAATATGAGTCTAAACTAAGCTAGCTAAGCTTCTCTCGCAGTGTCAAACACGTAAGATATCCAGTTCTTTTTCATGAGAATTCGGAGAAGCATATCCGTGTTCTCTCATCTTCACATAGCATAAGAAACGGGCGAACTGGTTATTTTTTTTATCGCTTCAGATGGTCGTTATTAAGTTTTGGCCAGGCTCTTCATCTTGAGAGCGAACGAAAAACTTAGTGTTTGCAATCAATGCACCTTGAGAAATGTCTCGAGGAACGGATGTGTTTAGGCTTTTTTCTACCATAGAACAGTAAAAAGCACTCTCAAATATTAGTCATTTCAGAGCATACTACATGGTTTTACCAATTAAAACCTCAGGCATATAATGCTGAGATGCAACTCGATCCACTAATATTTTGACTTTTGGTAGCTGGATCTGAACTACAAAGTCAAAATTTTTCAATGCTATGATAAGGCATTAGCTTAATTTATGGGCTTAAAGTCTTAAGCTATGTTCTCCTTTTTGACGGTAGTATGGGTTGTTTCTGAGTCAACTTTGTTTTTTTTTTTTATTATTTCTTTAAATTTATTAAAATTTTATTAGAGAACAAGTTCGTAACTTTCTCGATGAC